ATTATGCATAGCGCTGTTAGACTGTGACATTGATGCAAGCCATTCAAGCTGTAGCAAAAAGCATGGCCAATAAATAGTAACGATGACGTGAGAACAAGAGGTCAAATCATGTCCCGGATCAATTTAGCTAAATGTTCACTGGCTGGTGAGCTTTACCACCTCTTGCACACCAACAGTGGTTACCCCATGGAAAGACTGGTCTATGCCATAATAACGTGGAATTTCCATATCTGCCTCAAGTCTGTCAGCATAGAAGTGCAGAGCCCAACACAACGCTGTTTTGCCATTAAAATGTAGCCCCTGTTTTTTTTGCACAATGCTTGAACCCCCAATGCCAGTATACTGATGACAGAATGCACCTCTTAATGAAGTCAACACATGTGAGAAAGGTTGCACTTGGCTAATTAACTGGGACTGCTTTCATGACAGACACAATCCAGACAAGAGTAAGTAATATTTCAAATGAGTATTAGAAAATTAGTCATTCACAGACATCTGTATTGCCGAAACGGAAACAAAATAAAAAATACACAAGGTTTCAGGGGATGAAATGTACCAATAATTAAATACGGTATCACTAATTATATAAATACTTCGATTTAAAGCTTTCGTGACTGCAAGGATTCATCTTCTTTGGTTCTTTCGGTAAAGTCACGTAGAATGAGAATAAAATAATAAATTGATAAAATAAAATAACGTAATAAAATTCTCACGACGTTTCACAAGCGGCCTTCATCATGATGAAGGCCGCTTTTGTTGTGGCCGAAACGTCGTGAGAATTTTATTGTGTTATTTTATTTTATCAATGTATTATTTTATTCTCATTCTACGTGGTGACTTTACCGAAATAACCAAGAAGATATATAAATACTGGCATAAAAAAGTCGACCGTAATACTCATTATCAGCTTACTTTAAATAGGTCACCAGTTTAAATGAAGCAGATTTTTACGAAGATAAATATGGCCAGTATATAGTTATTATCATGATCACGCTTGTTTTCCCCAGGAACGTCTCACAGAGTCTCAAACCTCTATTTAAGGGCGGTCCTGCAAACCGGGTTTGATCCGACCCTGATGTCTGTATATTTGGAGTTTGAATGTCTTTCACGCAGTCGCGTGGATTTTTATCCGGGTCCTCCGTTTTTTTTCCTCCACATTTTGAAACATGCATTAAGAGTCTTCTTGGTTCTTTCGGTAAAGTCACGTAGAAGGGAAATAATAAAAATAAAATTCTCAGAATTTTATTCTCAGAATTTTATTTTATGTTTTATTTTTATTTTATTATTTCCCTTCTACGTGACTTTCCTGAAAGAACCAAGAAGATGAATCCCTGCAGTCACGAAAGCTTTAAATCTAAATTTATGCATTAAGAGTATTTGGCCGATATAATTTTCCATGTGACAAGTCACTTGGTTGAGCTATTATTTGTGGCCAGGTCGCTTCTTAAAAAGATCTACATAGCTCAGTGGGCCTTACCTGGTAAAATAAAATAGTTTACTTTTCGCCGTAGTGGGTGATGTTGCCATGTGTAATCCCGATTGAGTAATTTGCAAGGTATTTTATCAGCATTGAGATCTTTGGCCCACACTAGAAACATTGTATGTTTGTTTTTAGCTATGGGAGCAAACTAGAGAACATGGCAAAAAAACCCACGCAGATCAGGGGGAGAGTCTACAAACTCTACAAAGAGCCCAGTTGAGAATTGAACCAAGACCCTTTGCACTATGAGGCACTGTGCCATCATGCTGTTCAAATACAGTCCATGGCATAGATTGTTCTTTGGATGAGCAAGCATCTCAATAAAGATACGGCCCTTTTAATTAATGTATCTCTGCCGGTGGAAGAGCCCCATACGAGAAGACGCTCGAGATCCTTTGTTGAGGGTATTTTGCCGAATGTTCTAAACTGGCCAGAGACGGGAGTAGCCGCACTTTACCCCACCACATGCAACCTTCCATTTGACTAACTGGTGTACCCATTTAGACTGCTGTGTGGACAAGAGGTGAGGGCATTTAAGAAACTTGCCCATTTGTTAATAACAAAATAAAAAGCCTGCCCATTGTTCCAACAGTAGTGCCAGGAGATTTAAACGGCGACCTCTGGATCTCCACAAGGTACTTACGGCCCAAGGAGGGCCAGAAGCGACTTGCGGGCATCCCGTAAATTATTGTTGCGGCGTTCATCAAATAACCTCCTACCCGGGCTGAGGGAAGTGAGCCAGGGGGTATCACCACCTGACTCTGATGTGACGTTGCGGCCTGGGGTCAAGTAAACATTTTTTTTATATTTTACCATTGAGCTTTATAGCTCATTTTCAGAAGCGACCTGTACAAAAATGATAGCTCAATGTGGGAAATGTATAGCAGCCACTTACTCTAAACGCGTGTTTATAATTGTGAGAGGAAAACCAGAGAACCCGGGAAAAATAATTCCACGCGAGCACGGGGAGAACACGCAAACTACAAACACGCAGCAGGCGTCAGGGTCGGGATAGAACCTACGACCTCCTGTATACCAGGCGGAGTAGTTAACATCTCAACACTGTGGGGTGTCAGAGCATGGTCGTCCACTGCGCTGCCCACCCGTCCTCTTGTGCCTGCCAGGTTTTATGAGCGGGGCCTCTTAACACCATGCACCTGCAAACGTTGTGGTCGCCCTCCCTAGGCACGAGTGATGGCACTCACGTGGTTCAGTGACCCTCAGCATCCAGCGAAAATGTTGCCAAAAAAGTGCACTGTAATGCCTGCGATCATTGAGCGGTACTAAAGCACAGCACTCTTGCCTCTGAGAATAGATACATTTGCCTAACGTAGTTTCCCCTGCGGTATGGAAAAATCGAAGTACCGTCAGCCGCGTATCAATGGCTGATAAATAAGGGGGGGGCGTGGGCGGACGGAAAACAATTGGAGCACACAAAATGCTTTCCTGCTCGCGTTCGTGACAGAGAATAACTGGCTGGGTGATGACCCAAATGAGTTCTTATGGCAGCGTGGCACTGTCAGCACATTACAAGCCGGTCCTTGTTACGTATGCTTCGTAATGGAGGAAGACGAAGCAAAAGATCGTAGCCTTCACAGGTGTCTCAGTCCACGCTTTCCTCAATTAAGCTGAATTTTAGGTCACTTAATCCCAAAGCGTATTTGCTGTTTGGAATTGTTTTGTGTGTCCCCTCTCCCCTGGCCCGTGGGCACCTGGCCTCTGGCTTGTCGTCAGCGGAACAACAGTACCCCTTCCCCCCATCGCTCGTGCTTTGTACCGGGCTCTTGTTCAATAAAAAAACAATACTAAAACATTACGTGTTGAGTTTTTACACGTATTAGTGTCCAATGTACTGCCATATATGTGGCAGTGCAATGTGGCAGTATCCAGAGTACTGCAGCATACTCAAGAGTTTTTTTTGTTTTTTGGTACCAACACTCATTCAACACTGCGGAAGCCCGACCATGTGAATAGAGTGACCGGCTATTGCTCTTGGAGTTACTCGGATACGGCAGAAGGCGCACAGAGAGAGAGAGAGCAAAGGAGATAAAAGAGCAGGGAAGATAGGCAGCAGCACTCATGTTTGATGTCCTGTTGTTTGCGGGAGCATACGGCAGTCACGGGCAAGGCCAGCCAAACACTAGGATGCGTAAATGCTCCGGTGATATCCAACACTCCGGGCATTGAAGGGTCAATGCCCACGGTGAAAGACTTCATAAATCCCAAGTGTGTTCAACACGAGTGCGTGTGATTGCCTGCAGGTTTGAAAGTGGGAGCAGAGGTATGCGGCGAGAGGGGGGGGTGATTTAAAGACAGAATGTACAATTACCTATTTATTGTCTTTTCTTTAATTGAGAGTTGAAACGTGTTTTGCTCGTTGTCATGATAATTATCGCATGACCTTGCCGTTTGGAACTTGACCATGTACACAGCTGTTTTTGGATTGTTTTGGTCATCTTTCTTTTTTTGTTGTAACCAGGTTTCTACGGAGTACCCAGGACCCCAATGAAAAAGAGCATTTTTTGCCCAATCGGTTTCACCAGTGCCAAATAAAGCCAAAATAAACATTATTCAACTGCTTTCAAGCCCAGATATTTGTGCCTAATCGAGTCTTTATTTTGCTGAGGCAGACCAAGGGTCAGGTGATATGTGATGCTGAGTGATGCTCACTGCCTGGATCTATACCCCAAGATGGGGTTTCACTAATAAAACTAAGGATTTTACTCAAAGAGCTGAGAAGTTCAAGTGACCTTGAGAAAAACATTGTTCGAATGTTTTTCTTTATCAAGTATGCCTCGCCAACATAAGGCTCCAATAACCCAGTCAATGCAAAGACAAAATAGCAACTCTGTAATGTATAAAGGATGTGTATAAACAGCACATTGCGGGAAATAATTCAGCTGAAATGCCTTTCTGTATTGTCTCGCTGCATAGCAATAAGCAAGTAGGGAATGGGCAACTGTCGTGATCCTGCTTCGTGATTGTCAAACAAGTGGCAGATGTGCACAATGCTTGTTACCCAACTGACAGGTAATGAGAAAGACAGCTAATGTGGAAAGATTAACTGAAGCAGCTTGGGAAGGAGGGTTTAGCTCAACCAAAGTACAGATGGTACACACCTCATGCTTTATAATACGGGATATATCAAAGCTAAACAACAAACACAAGCAAATGGTGACCATTCCATAACTGTGATAACAATCTAGAGTACATGCCTCCCTTTTTATGCTCCATTGTTTATCAAAACAATTAATTGCTCCAAACCTGTAAATATTTTTCACTTTGCGTTATTCTTTTGTTTTCGCTTCATGCATTTCCAATTTGCAGCGCGTGTACGCAACCAGGGGCGTTTTATCTGGATACGATCGAAAGCGGTTTGCCGTATTATTCCGCTTCCATTCAATTAACGGAAGTGGGCACACACAAAAAGCGTGCGGAATCAAACATGCTTGGCTGAGTGCGATCGCTGAAATTATTATGCTCTGGCAGATGCACGGGATGTAATGTGCACATTACTCACCCAGTCCTAATAAATCAATGGTGGGTTCGGCCGTCGTTTGTACAGCTGGTGTCCCCATGCTTTGTTGCTCTTGCGGCTTCTGTGCAAAAGGAGGAGGGACATTCTTTGTTAACCTCCATCAGGGGGGGGGGTAATTTCCCTTCCATCATACATCATCATAATCATCATTATCATCAACATTTCTCTTGCCGATGCTGGATGAGCACACTCCACGTGCATTTTTATATTGTTATACGTAGCTCTGTTTTGTTTCATTCCAATGCAATTGTTTAATGTATGGCATATTTAAAAGTTACCGTCATGAATCATAAATACGTAGGCTTTCCCGACCAATATTATACATAATAGAGATTTTTTTTGGGGTGGTTAGATCGCTGAAATGTGTCGTTAAATCCGCCACCACCCAATTCTGGCTATCGCCTGATGAGACTGGTTGTAATTTCTGGCGAAACGTCGTATTTCAATGGTAAATGTTGTGGGTTTTACTCTCTGAAACGTCGTACTCCAATTGTAAATGTTGTGGGTTTTACTCTCCAACATACCAGTGTGCTGAACTAGTATCTATTTGGCATGTTTTGTTTACGTGACAAAATGCACTAATTGGCTGTGTCGGGTGATGGTGGGTTTAATAACACATTTATATTTACGCGATCTAACTCAAAAACCTCTATTATGGATGAATCATAAATATCCATTCTCAGTTCACTGCTGAATGAAAACAAACCCATTTATTGTATTCAACAGCAGAGACATGCCTATTAACTCTAGCAATGAGACCAGCCAAAGACACATTTAAAATACACTCTGCCAAGTTGTTACACTGTATTTATTGTAAGAATCAATGAGATATTGCGTTGCAATATTTAATTCATGGATCCATTCCCAATTAGAAGCGTGCATTCGTGCCCTGACATTTGCACCTACTCTCAACCCACAATGCACACTGTTGGCTACGTGCAGTGCGAAAGAAGTTCAACATACACAAGTACAAGTGGTTGTGTTTGAAGCGAAGGTGAATTTGTAGCGTAAGTGGATTGATCTTGTCAAAATGGTGACATGTGTTTCCATGCAGCGCAATCAACAACATTTAACAATATGTTACTTTTTGCAGGAGCATAGATTTTGGAATTTGCTACCCGCCGAGTTTCTGTGCCCCTCCGTGTACATTGCGGTTTATGTTGTGTATCGGGCTTTTGTTGAAAAAGAATTTTTTTTTCAAAAAAACAAAACATTTGACCTAATTTGCAAATGCTGGCATAATGCTCAGGTGGTGGAACCAAAAATAAAATCAATCTGTTCTGTGTTTCCACGCTCAAATAATAATGGAGTAAAAAAATTCTCACCTCTGCTGGCAATTCTGCACCAGTGGTGGATATTCCACATTCACACAATGTATGTACTTGCTCAGACCAATGCTGGCAGAATGACCTCCACTAGAGGAAGCTCACGAGTGCCCATCTAGAGGATATTTGGCCTATTCTTTAAATTGACTAACTGTAGGCAGGAGGATTTAAGAAACTTTGCCCCCTTTGTTTGAACTGTCGTGCCAGGAGATGGGATCTAACCTGCGAACTCTAGACCGCAAGTGCAGAATGCTACCCATTACACGATGGGAGCATGCTGACATGATCATGTGTGTTGCATCCACAGTATTGAACGATGTGCAGAAATAGGATGCTAAGATGCCATTAATCGAACATGAAGGCTCTTGAAAAGTATGAAAACAACGTGGGTAATTTCTGAGGGTCCTGGGCAGTGATGCCGATTCATATAATCCACACTTTGGTTCTCTAGAAGAAAAAAAAGTGCTTTTCGTGGAAAAGAGACTGAGATACCCATGTGTTTTAACCTCTTCTACCCCACCTACTCCCCTCCCCCCAAATGTTACAGGACATTATTAACAACGTCTACAAAATGTAAACTTTCCAACTGATGATGTCAAATATATTGTGATGGTATTTGGATAATTAGGCCACTGTGTGTTCAAATTGTAAGCACAATTGCTTAAATATAACTGACAACAGTTGACTTCTGCTGTGCAGAGGGCATACGACCTAGAACATTCACACACAACTTGAAATAGCTACTCTGTAGCATGAAAGATAATTCAATTAGCAAACAATTAATGAACCATTCAAAGCAGATATTTAAAAAAGTGAAAGACAAGGTCAGCTCAACAAAATTAGCGTTTTGACAATTGAACCTCATGGCAGGACCCCGGGGTCCAATAGGCCCCCGGCTCTCACATAAACATTATATTATGTCAACATTATATTATATATAATATAAACATTATATTATAATGCAAACAAAAACTTTGCTTTTTTTCACCAATGGGTTTTAAGGATGGTGGCAAGTGTTGTCTTGTTAAACTATGCCTTTAAAACTAAAAACTACTTACCCATATACCTACTTACCTGCAGTACCTCTATTTAAGTACACTTTCGAAAAAATGATTTACACCCCTCGGTCAATCGTCGTGTTTCTCGGTGTGGATTTGTGAACACACTTTGTAAACAGTACATAAAATAGTACGCGTTTTCAATGCGCTGTTCATATTGTAACAAGCGTTTATACCAGTGTTACTCTACAGAGTTGTGGGTTGCCGCTCCTCTTATCCGCATTGATACGAGCGGTATGTGGAGACTATGGCTTAACCGCAAAAAAAAAAAACATATTTGCACAGATGCATACGGACAAGATAAATATTATCAAACAGGAGGGACAGTGCAACGCATCTCATCTGTTAAATATCTGCCGGTAATAGGATTGTCATCGATTGATCCTGGCTGCAGACATTGCTAGGTCACAAATAATAATGAAGACAAGGGAGCAGTTTCACTGTATTATTATTATGCATACCGTCGTGGCAAATAAAGGACTTAAGTGGCGTAGGCAGTTTGAGCAGCTTTGGATAAGACTTGTTATGATCCTGCCCATACCCGAGCATGGAGCGCATTCACTTGTTCAGCTCTTCTGCGCGATTGTCCTCGCTGCTGCGCTTGGACACGACACGACAACAGGACGATCTGCGCCAGGTGGGTCGCGGCGTTTATGTGCGCGGTGGGACGGAGTCGCCAGAAAGAAAAAAATAAATTGCGCTTTTTTTTGTTCATTCAGGACCCCGGTGTCCTGCCATAAGGTTCAATTAATGAAAAAACGACAAATTATCTTGCAAGTGGGTCCAACAAGTGTTCACTTGATTTTCACACACAAAGCAATCACAGAGCTCTTAACAATCACTGTGGCTACCAGGGCACCAGGCACGGTGGGGCATGGCGAATACCATGCCCAGCCCCCTTTGACTTCCCACTGCAGATGTTCCACACGCCAAACTAAGTCCCCATTTCAGGCTGGGCTGAAAGATCTGATCAAGCCAGTCTCAGATACAGTATTCATTCGCAATTGTATTGTGCTTGATCAAGAATAAACCCAGGTCACAGGGAAGTGCATTGTGCGAAATAACACAGCATTGCGTCCTCACTCCTATAGACAAAGATCAACGATCCCCCGTGTAGCCTAAATAGATTGCCGAGGGAAGTGTTGCTCGTGAGCAGCTATTAAGGCCAGTGTGGAGAACAACTTTGTAGTAAGTACATGTATAAATGTGCAACTCTTATAACCTAGGTTATCACGAGCAGTGTGAAGAACACCATGCATGGCCACCTTTTTACACACCAAACCAGATACTGGTTTCAGGACGAGTCAACCTAGGGAACGCCCAGAAGGCCCATGGCCAGGAATCGAAGGTGGACCTCTTGGTTCATGTCACACATAAAGTAAACTACTGCAATACTGCACACAATATGAAAAATTAACCGTGAGAGCCATCCTCAGGCTTCCATGTTCTAATGTCATAACTTAAAAATAATAATCAAACACCTCTACCTAAATAAAAATCCTAACTCTGAACCTTTGGACCTGAATAGAGTATTCCCTCATTATTCACGAACTTGCTATCCGCAAATCGCATCTGGAACGCTACACGATTGCATTAAGAAAGAGTGATGAGAGATAAAGTTATGAGAGAGAATGTGATGCAAGAAAGTGATGAGATAAAGTGATTAAATAAAGTGATGAGATAAAAATATGACAGATACATCATTGTAATGTATTTACCGTATTTTCCCACATATAACCCGCGGGGTATACCATTTATTATAAACAAACAAGACCCTGTGGGGTATATGGAGATGCGGGCTATCCCAAATTTTTTTTACACATGTGACGTCATAACTCGTTTAATTTGTTCATGGTAGGTCTATCCACTATGAAAAACTTACCTTTAACTAAAGCACTGCTGAATAAACCACTCACAGTAAAAAAATTGCACATGTTACCACGTTTTTAATGATTCAATTTTTTTGTACAATGAAACGACAATGTTTGAAGTGGGCGCACTGTGTTTACCGTAATACTTTCAGTGGCTGTAGGGGGGTGCGAAAGTTTCAGCTGAGGCTATGGATCGCACAATGGGAAGGGCCTTAACAAGCGTCTACCAGACGCGGAATCATAATTGCCGAGTCCCTTAGGCCGCTGCTATTGGCTGAGCACTATACAGTCGCGACCATGAGCTTTGTTTCAAACTTCCAATGGCTTTGTTGCCAGGAGGTAATGGCGTTACCATAGTGCCGCTATTGTCTGCGCAGTGCGCAATCTACCAATGCTAAAACTGTACAGGGGTAACTACCAGTCCAGTAGCTGTAATATGATGAGGTCGAATGCCGGTAAGCCTAACAGTACACTTACTTATCTACCAGTTATATGTTACTTATTTATTGGATATTTACTTTTGTTACTTATTTACTGTTTTAAGTTCACTTGTTTCCAGTTAGTTAGTTTTTTTGTGCACGTTATGATTTTAATGTTAACAATTGATAGTGGAATGTATTACAAATGTAAACTTTGTATTAATATGATGGAATTAAGCTGCGGTAACAACAAAATTCAAGAATTACTCAACGATGGTAGCTATACAAAAAAAAGAGATCCCACCAACAGCCTCGTCATACAAACCAACAAAATAATTTCTGATTCAACCGCATTAATTGATACAACCAAACAGTTGTTGTTGAAACC